CACTATCTACATTCCTCCTAGCTATCAGCTGCAAAAACGTGATTTACATTCTTTAATTGATGAACTTCCGGAGCCCTATGTTCTCCTTGGAGACTTTAATGCGCATAGCAGGCTATGGGGTGACTCTCGGTATGACGCGCGAGGTCGACTGATTGAACAGTTCCTTCTCTTCTCGAGCGCGTGTCTCCTAAATCGAAAAGAACCAACCTATTATAATCTCGCCAATAACACCTACTCCTCCATAGACCTACGCATAGTATCTCCACCTCTTGTGCCTCTACTCCAGTGGAAAATTGTCAGTAATCTGTACGGAAGTGACCACTTCCCCATAGTTTTGAGCACAAATACAGTAACTGAGTGTCCACCACGTGTTCCCTAGTGGCTCATAAACAGAGCCGACTGGGAACACTTTTATACCATCGCTCGTCTAGGTTGGAATGACATATGTACTTTGAACATTGATGCTGCAACAAAATGCATCCCACAAACAAATGGACACCCTGGAAAAAAATGGCAGAATATCCACAGAGTGAATGATGGAGAGTGGGGCGAAGCATTCGTCCGTCCATGCGTCCGTCTGTGTGACCGTCCATGCGTCTGTTTGTGCGCCCGTCCCTGCGTTCTTTCATGCATCCGCCCCTGCGTCCGTTCATGCGTCCATCCATGCATCTGTTTGTGTGTCCGTTCGTTCATCTATTCAACACTCAAGCCCCACCATCTCGCATCTTTTTATCATATATTCCCCATATAGAAGCACCGCCATCCAGCAGACATTCCAAGGACTAAACGAGAGGTGGCACACGCACACTTTCTTACGGCCTGTGCTTTGGGTCCACTTCCCACCTTTAACCACCTCGAGTTCATGGTATATTCTAGTTCACTGTATTCATGGCACTGCGACCAAACGCTCGCTAAACCTTTCGAAAACCAAGGAGGTTACGCCCAGCGAGTATAACGTAGCAACCTTTCCCTGTCAGATAGGGCTCAATTTACATGCCAATGGCTGCTAATGAGAAATGAGAGACAGGAGAATTCGGCTTTTACTTTCTTACGGCTTGCGCTTCGTATCTACTTCTCATTTTTAACCACCTTGAGTTCATTCATGGTATATACAAGTTCATTGTATTCATGGCACTGCGGCTCAACGCTCGCTAAACCTTTCTAAAGCTAAGGAGGTTACACCCAGCGAGTATAATGTAGCATCCCTTTCTTGTCCGATAGTGCTCAATGTACATGCCAATGGCTGCTAATGGGGATCGCAGCGTGCGCGTTGACTAAAAGCCGAATGCTCATGTCTCTCATTCCCCATTAGCAGCCAATTGCATGTACATTGAGCACTATTTTTTATTGTTAAACAACGCACAGAAGAAATCTCTCACTGGCACCACCTTGGAGGTCAAGTGTTATACCTATTTCGGGTATGTGCCACTGGTGGTTACATACGAGGGACGCCCAAGCCACGCCATAAGGAGCTTCGCCCCTAAAACGGCGTGTGCCATGGTGGAACTCTGAATGCCGAAACACGCGCAAACAGCAAAACAGAGCTTGGAGGCTGCTTCAGAACTCACCGACAGCCGAAAATCTTGACACCTTCAAGAAAATAAAGTCTCAAGGCAAAACAACGCATCAGCAGGCCAGAAGAGAAAGCTGGCAGAAGTTTTTGTCAGGGATCAATTCATACACACAGGAGGCTAAAGTCTGGAACATGGTCGGTAGGATAGCAGGAAAACAAGTACACACACTTCGACTCGTAAACACTCAGGGTGACACCTTGGAAGATCAGGCAAACTTCCTCGGTGCACACTTCGAACAGGTGTCCAGCTCATCCCACTATACTGACACTTTCCAAAAATACAGAAAAAGAATAGAAAAGCAGAAACTCAAACACAAATGCACCAGATACGAGGCATATAACCGAGCTTTCAGTCTAGCTGAGCTGCGAACATCTCTAAACTCCTGCAGTACTTCTGCCCCAGGTTCTGACCGTGTGGTGTATGAAATGTTAAAGAACCTACCAATCGAAACACGAAAAACCTTACTTTGTTTGTACAATGCTGTCTGGTTTTCTGGCACTATCCCTAACTCTTGGAAAGAGGCTATTATAATTCCCATTTTGAAAGAGGGCAAGGACCCTTCTTTACCTTCGAGTTATAGGCCTATTGCACTTACAAGCTGCTTGTGCAAAATCTTCGAAAAATGATAAACTGCAGACTTGTACATTTCCTTGAAACAAACAATTTGCTCGACCCATTTCAGTGCGGGTTTCGAGAAAGTAGATCCACCGCAGACCACCTTGTTCGTATCGAGGCACAGATCAGGGACGCCTTCGTCCATAAACAATATTTTCTCTCTGTATTCCTCGATATCGAAAAGGCTTATGATACAACATGGCGTTTTGGAATTCTAAGAGACCTGTCCCACCTTGGCGTGCGCGGAAGAATGTTTCACATAATCGAAAGTTACCTGTCAAACCGGACATTCCGTGTCCGAGTGGGCACGGTTCTTTCCCAAACCTTTGTCCAGGAAACAGGCGTGCCACAAGGTGGTGTACTTAGCTGCACACTTTTTCTCATCAAAATGAATTCCTTGCACTTGTCCATCCCCCGCAATATGTTCTATTGTACATATGTCGACGACGTCCAGCTTGGCTTCAAGTCATGCAACTTGGCAATGTGTGAGCGGCAGGTTCAGCTGGGTTTAAACAAGGTCTCCAAATGGGCAGATGAAAAGGGATTTCGACTTAACCCACAAAAAAGCACGTGGGCCTTGTTCTCTCGAAAGAGAGGCATGCACTCGGAACCTGACATTCGACTGAACGGGCAATGCCTGTCCGTCAAAGCCGAGCATAAATTCTTAGGCTTAATCTTGGACAACAAGTTGACCTTGGTACCACACATAAAGTATATAAAAACAAAATGTTTAAAAGCCATGAATGTTCCAAAAGTGTTGTCACGTACTACTTGGGGTAGTGACAGGCAATGCCTCATGAATCTGTATCGAAGCCTCGTTCGCACCCGCTTAGATTATGGGGCCGTTATTTATCAGTCTGCAACTCAAAGTGCTTTGAAGATGCTGGACCCCGTGCCCCATTTGGGCATCCGCCTTTCTACGGGTGCTTTTCGCACCAGCCCCATAGAAAGCCTTTATGTTGAGTCAAATGAGTGGTCGCTTCATCTGCAGAGAACTTACATGTCCTTTGTTTATTTCCTTAAGGTGAAAGCGGATAAGAAGCACCCCTCATACTCTACTCTTAATGATTTGTCGAGCTCAATTCTGTTTCAAAACAGGCCTTCGATGAGGCAGCCCTTCTCAGTTCGCCTGAAAGTCTAGCTGAGGAAACTGGAGTCTCACTTGAACACAGCGTAATGGCTCCTGTAGCATATCCGCCACCGTGGCAATGGCAGACTATAGACTGTGATGTGTCCTTTCTAGAAGTTACAAAACATGCGCTTGTTGCCCATATCCGAACATACTTCCTGGATCTTCAACACAAATACACACGTCCTGAGTTCTTTACAGATGCCTCCAAGTCCAACTCCTCTGTGTCCTACGCTGCTTTCGGCCCATCCTTTTCGGATGCTGGCCCTCTACATCCAGGCACAAGTATCTTCACAGCAGAAGCTTACGCGATACTTGTGGCAGCTAAACACATCAAACAATTACAAATACAAAAAGCAGTAATTTACACAGACTCCCTCAGTGTGGTAACGGCTCTGCAGAGTCTTAAAAAACAAAAAACCCGGTCCTTGTCTCACTTTACTTCATTTTTTGCACACACTACACACTCAAACAACATGTTGTAGTGTGCTGGGTGCCAGGGCACCGTGAGATCCAAGGCAACGTGAGGGTGGATCAGCTCGCTGCATCCGTCCACAAAAGCACTGCCCCTACACCCATATTAATCCCAGCCCTTGATCTTAAGCCGTCTCTCAAACGAAACCTCAGGGATTACTGGCAGAGCAAGTGGGATATACACACACAAAACAAACTACACGTTATCAAGCCACACCTTGGTCATTGGCTGCCAGTATCAAAATCGCGTCATACTGAGGTAATACTAACGAGACTAGGGAACCGCTTTTTAGTTATAAATCATTGCTAGCGTTTTTAAAAGAAATTCATAGTTTTCATATCATATACCCGGGCATTCCGTAGCACGACCTCTCCTGAGAGGTTTTCGCTGCGGTGGCTACACAAGAAAGCACTTGCCTCGCGGCCCTTGGACGCAAGGGTATGAACGAGTGAGGCACTTGTGCTAATGCCATACATATCCACCATCGTCTTTTATTATCACCAACTTTGTTCATCTATTCGCACCACACACACCTTTCACGGCATGGTCATGATTTTATTACTTGTATGTTTTTACCCCCCTTACCGCGAGGAATTTTATGGCCCTTATACAGCCGCTAATCACAATCATTGTCCACATCTCTTGTCCCATGAACTGGCGCTCTTTGGCCATCAAATGGCCCTTGCGCCAAAAAACTCCATATATCCTCATCATCATCATATTATCCTGTGATGTGTACCGTCTTGAATTAAGTCATTAATGCATAATAGCGTTCAGTGTTACATGTAGCATCAAATGGTATATAGTTTAATTTGCTTAAAACTTGTGGATGAATATATCTCCTAATTTAGAATGACCCATGGTGAAAGGTCGGGAGGGTGGGGGGAGAGTCTGAATGTTTGGCAAGCCCCCCCCCCCCCTGAAGTTTTCTAATTTTTGAGTGTTGACACCTCATACTCGGCTTCAAGTTTCGGACTTTCCATGTGCTCTCATCCTCATCAGAAAAATACTGCGTCTGTCCCTGAAACAGTCTTAGCTTTGATGACAGCTGACAGGAATAAGTAAAAACCATATACAATCTTCCATGTACGTCTTCGGTGTACAAAGCAATCCACCACCATATACATATTTCGCCATTCATAAATTTTGTCAGGACAACTGCACCTATTTATTGTGCGCAGTAAGTCATTAGTGATGTGGAATGCAGGGTTCTTCGGGGATCGTGATCCCATCAAGTGTGACCCAACTGGTGTGCCCGAAGACATCCTGCAACACGTAGGCATTGCGTTCAGCTCACCCCCGCCGGGCAACTTCAAGATCCACCCGGGCCTGCGACGTATCCTCAAGGCACGTCTCGAGATGGTGGAGCAGAAGACTGCTGACTGGGCCCTTGGCGAAGCCATGGCCTTTGGCTCCCTGCTTAAGGAGGGCATCCACGTGCGCCTCAGTGGACAGGATGTTGAACGGGGCACATTCAGGTAGGCCCCTTGCTCTCACTCCCTACCGTGCATGGGGCATTGGCCTTGGTGCCTATGAGAGTGCATCTTTTGAGCAACATATTACATTGGGTTTAAAAGAGTCCTGAAGTAAACTTCGTAAGTTCAAAGGATTGTGAGCTACGTGCTCACTAGTTTGTGTCTGAAGTTTTGAATAAGTGCTGTTTGAAAGAAGAGCAATGCTGAAGGTACACAGATGGACTAAGTTAAACTTCTGTACCTCCATATTAAAACTAAACTTTTCTATCTCTTCATTGCTATCCTTTCAAACAGCACATGGTCAAAACATCGAGGATTGTGCCACCAGCGACACAAGTTCTAAAAAAGCACTTGTAAGGTTAGAATATTCTAAAGAAAATTGCTCAGTAGCATTACGAATACCTAAATATCATATTTGCAATCAGTGCACACACTTAAAGGAATAACTGGTTTGAAGGCAAAACAATGTTTTGCCTGCCTTTGGAAGTTTCTATTTTACAATACCAAAGGCCAGTATATAGTGATTTTTCACGTCCCATTGAACCAGTGAAGCTGTGAGAAGGAATAATGGGTGGCTCCACAGCTTTAATGTTCCTATACAAGCTTGCCATGACATCACAGCTTTTGATGGCTTGTGTTGAGGCTGAGAGTTTTTAAGAAAAGCAGCTTTTCAAGAATGCTGTGATGTGTCTGCCCGGAACCCACCATAGGCCTTTTAGATACACACTGAAGGATTAGGGGGGGAAGGGTATGGCAGCGGCTACTGAGTAGCCGAGGAAATACAGCCCTCAACCTCCCCACAGCAAGACACTTATTACAGAAGTTTGTCTAACCTAGTATATCTCGCAAAGGTCATTGCTCTTGCTGCGTAACTTGTGAATACACATGAAGTTAGACGTGCGATTTTTCCTCATGCTGCTCTATGTTATAATTGAAACCCTGAATAAAGAAATAGGCGGAGAAAGCAAAAAGAAGTTCCCTCTTGAGGGAATTTCGTTTGCATGAGAATGTTGCAGAAAAGAGGGGGCCAAAGGGGTGTAGGTGTTCTCTGAGGAAGTCTAGTCAGTCGTGTTAATCTTTCAAGTGCTCACTTATCCGGTCCGCAAAGCAAGTCAGCGTTCGCGCTGCGATGCTACTACAATGAGTTCATCTCGGCTTACGACGAAGAAGTGTAAGCAGTTTTCGCTAAGGAGAATGTGGATGAGCTGGAGGCCTTCGCACTGCAAAGTTTGTGCTGCAGGCGTCAAAAAAAAAATTAGACTTCTTTAAGGAAGCGTGCATTTTTTGGTGTTCACTTGCGCATTTGTTTTTTATTGTGAAAAACGAATTCAATGAACCACCGTTGTAAAGATAAGTCATTTTGGTTGGTTGAAAATAAGTATTTATGGTTAATTTTTGGGCTTTCACTATAATGATTTCTCAAAATAACAAATTGCCGTGGTCCCCTAAAGTTTGTTATACCGAGATTTTACTGTACAGGGGTGCAACAGCTGTGCAAATTGCGCCAATTTCATACAATTCTTCATTGTTGCGCAGAGCTGCGCCAAAACTATGAGATTTATGGAAATTGCGCCACGCTGTGCCCAAATGCCCGAGCAGCTTCAGGAGCGCTAATTTCAGGGAAAAATGGAGACCACATTGGACACCTACAGTTTGCATTATCAATCCAAGCGTGCAAACCTTAATCCTAAAACACTGTTAGGCGAGGGCACTTGTGAGACACAATGAACCAGATTTAGTAGCAATGACACGTGCTCATCGGTCCGCAGACCGCAGTGGATACCTACGGCAAGATGCCATAACTTTTCTCTCTCTCTCTCTATCTATCTCTCTCTCTCTCTTTCAAGACAAAAATGCATTGCCATAGCCACCAACCCTTGCAGAAGATATGAATTTCCTTGCGAGCAAATGCGGTAATGACATGTTAGGAAATAAAGCTTAAAGCGTATGCCGCAGTTTTGGCACGTGAACAAATTCGACGTGCTCTGAACGCTGGCATCTCCAGGGACCACCATGTTGGTTGCCACGATGGCTCATAAAACATTTTTCTAAAAGTCTTGAAGTTGCATTGTCCCGCCGATACATATCGTGTCTTCGCCGAGCCAATGGGTGTCGTTGTTACTTTATCTCGTCGAGCACGCCTTGCAAGCGAGCCGAGAAATAGGGCACTAAACTAACTGCCGCCATGATAGAAAAAAAAAAATAAAAGATGGGGAGTGAGGTGGGGCTGTTCGAAATTGTTTTTTAAATGCGGAGCATTTTACAGTCGCACCCACTTGCAAATCTGGCGTTGGTGGTGTCGTCGACCCTCCCACTGTGCATGCTCGCGTCTCGTGCCAAACCACATCGAATTACGCAACATTCACGAGATACCCCCCCACTACTTTGTGACGCATTTACTAGAGTTCCCCCCCATGAAAAATTCCGCCGACCTTTGGCCTTGTTCTAACTCGCGCAGAATGCGGTTTAAGCTACCTTCGCCGCAATGCACTAGTGCCCTCTGGATAAGCGCGTTATGATTTGCAAGGGGCTGTTAGCGCTAGTCACGAGACACAACACATTTTGTTCAATTATTCATACATGTATGTGCTGCATAATTCAGAGTGCTGGTATGATCGCTGACAAAGAAAAGTTACTGGCAGTGATTTTGATCATTGATGGACATTCCTGCTGCCCTAAAAAATTGTGCTCTAGTAATTGTTTTTCGCCACCCCTACTCCTCGGTATACATTTCTCCCGAATTTTACGGTCGCCAGCTTCGCAGAGCCACATTTTAATTCGCAGTCTGTCAAAGAACTTGAGGGGTGCGGCAATGCTATTGTGGACTTTATGATTGTTTGCTTAGTAGGGTGGTTTAAAACACTTTCTTTGAAAAAGTGGTGCTCATGCTCACTCTACATGATTTAGGTAAGGTGGAATGGCTTGTATATATCGTTTTTGTGTTTTTTAGGGGCAAAGCTCCTTAGGGTGTGCGTCTGTCCATTCTTCGACGGTGTATGTAGCCACCGGTGGCACATACCCGAAAGAGCGGTCCTTAGAGTGTCCGCTGGATGGCCGCACTTGTGTATGATGAATACATGATGAAAATATGGGAGATGGCTGTACTTGGAGTGTTCACTAGATAGACGGACGGACGGATGGACATACAGATAGACGGATGAACTGACAGACGCACAGACAGACAGAAGGGTGGACGAATGGATGGACAGACAGATAGACAGAGGGACGGCCGCACGAACAGACGCACGAATAGATGCGTGGATGAACGGACACATGCATAGACAGACGCATGGACGGACAGAAGCAAGAACGAATGGGCGGATGAAAGCACGGACGGGCTGACGAACGCTTCGCCCCTCCAATCATCATTCACTCTGTGGATAAGCTGTGATTTTTTAAATTAATTTAAGCCTTCTGGTCTATACTGCTCCAAATTTGGTCTTTCATGATAAACAATGGGTGGCCTTTTTTTCGTAACCTGCTCCAAATTTGGGTTTTAGTGCTCCAAAAGGGACATTTTGCTGCTGTAAAAATTGCTTCAAACTCTATTTTGGCTGTTTCACCCCTGCATATAGCCTGCGGGACCAATGCCCATGAATATGCATACATATGTCATCTATAAAATGTCAACACCAAATGTTGTGTGAAAGGTATTTTTCATGAATTTTGAACATTGAAGGTATATTGACGTCATCAAAAGTGACTCCACATTGACCCCCTTGCTTTGCTCACGTTACCGTGCTGCAGTCACTAAAACAAATTATGATGACACCATAGCTACCATTTTTCTTTTGCTACATTTGTTCCTACAGTCTATACTTCTCGGCGGCTGCTCACGAGTCTGTGGCTGCGACACATGTGTTGAAAGTTTTGTTTGGTGACACTGCTGTCTCGTTTCATGTAAAAAAAGACTTCTTGATGCAAACCATGCAGAAGTGCTTCACAGGTCTGCATGCTGACGTGGTCGATCGCTGCACATACTAGATGGTGATGTTGCATCTGACGGCTTGACGTTTTCGGTGCTCTCTCATACTGAAACTGAAATCAGTCGGTAGTGAGAAGCCTGTAATTATCTGTCATGCACTGCAGCAAAGAATGTGCTGTGTTATGACCTAACAGGCCCCCAGCAACATGTTTCAACAAAAGAATGCAAAGCCAAACTTTTTGTATGAGTAACACTGTTTCATTTTGTAACACACTATAACACTGTTTTACCTACCATTTCTTCTGGATTTTCATATCTTCATTCATAAGACTGGTACGTCTGGTGCTTTGAAAGTGCACCCGCCATGGTGCCTTAGCAGCTGTGCTGTTTTGCTGTTCATTGTAAGGGCTTAGGTGAAATTCCAGCCGAAGTAGCTGCATTTCAATGAGCGGATATGCACCTGTGAAGTTATTAATTTTAGGCACTTTTTCAAGGACTACAAGTGATCGAAATTAGATAAGTTCCCCGCTGGGGTGTGCTTCACAATTGCATCATGGACGTAGCTCGTAAAACCTGAGAACTTATAATTCTTTTCTCTAGAAGTGAGATTTTTCAATTTCTTTTCATTTAATGTTTCGTTTTAGCATTCTTCTTCTAGCGACAAATTTGTAGACTTTAATTTGAGTGGGCTACAAAACGGAGTAGAAATGCTTATTTTCCTAATAGAAATTGAGGAAAAATATGTCGCTGCCCTGTCTAGATGGTTGTCACAACAGCCGAGTGCTTCACTTCCATGCTACCAGATGCTATGTTATCTTTGTCCTGCTGTGCCTTAATCAATGCGGTTCTTTGTACAAGTTTGTATCCTTGCGTATAGTGGCACCAGTGATGTTCCTTTAGTGGGAACGATAAAGATGTGGTCAGTGTAATGATTGTCTTTCGATAAGCGGCTGAGAATCTTGCTGCTCCTGCACAAATGTTTTTAAAAATCGGTTCTAATGGGTTGGCATGCCACAAGCAGCTGGAATGACAGAAATCTTTCTCATGCAAAAACACCTGGCAACAGGCTGGTGCTTGGGCATTTACTGCCTTTCTAATGGTTTCTCCATGACGTGGTGATGACAAAATGATCCCAATAGTGACCATGATGACCACAATAGCTAAGTGCCATTGTGGTTTTGACACAGACATGTTCTGCTAATCATGCTACTACTCGACGAGACAGTGTTCCATAAAACAATTGGTTACGGTATGACGAATGTAGGTTTCTTTGGCTTGCAATGTATGTAGTTGGCTTTCTCGGGGCTTTAAGATACTCTGGCTCTTTTTGACAGTCACCGCCATCATGTGCTGCACCATCAGACGATCGACAAGACGACCTACCGACCCCTGTGTCACCTTTGGCCAGACCAGGCACCTTACACTGTCTGCAACAGCTCTCTATCAGAGTATGGCGTACTTGGTAAGCTCTTTTACTCCCAGATATGTTGTTTCATTCATGCTTGTTTGTTGCACATGCAGGTCTGTGCACTGCTGAATCGAACAATTATTAGTTCTTGCAAGCTTGGTCCTAGAAGCATGAAATGAAAAATTTGTCGTATGCACACTGAGCCACTGAAAGAACCTTATAGCATTTCTGAAATATAAACTTCGGTAGTTCAAGAACTGTTGTCCTTTTCTGTGGATTCGATTTGAGACATGCATTTCAGAGCAGTCACTCTACGATCTTTATTTACTGACAGAATCTATGCATATCTCGGGCTGCGGCAAAATTAATTGGCAGCTTTGTTCGCAGAAAGAAATAGGTTGTGTAATGAAAACCTTCTTGAGTATTCGTACAAATAGTAGGCTGACGTCAAGAAGCCCTAATGGAGAAACAAAAAAATTAATTTCCTAAAGGGGCCCTGCAACACATTGTGAGCATAGTCAGAAAACGCTGCCGATCGGTAATAGAGGCTCCCGAGAACACGCGAGCCAAATGTTATGGTTCAGCATGCGGCCTGAAATTCACAATAAATTATCAAAGTCGGCGAAAAATTGCTTTTTCTTCCCTCTACAAATCACTGAAGACGCTCAGAATTCACTCGTAAAATGCCCATCTATCAGCCATTAGCTGAATTTAACATGACGCACTCGGTCGTTACAAAGATTGCCGCGAGAGGCTGTCACTTGTCCATGCGTGCGCGCACGATCGAACTGAAAAAGTTGCGTATTCGAAGAAAAAAAAAAGAAAAAAGTGTTCAAGGTCATAAGATGCACTAGACTTTTTTGTTTGTTTGTTTGCCCCTCCCATTCCTTTCTGCTTATCTTCCAGCGCTTTCGTAACGCATCGGTAACGCATCATGCTGCATCAGTAACGCTTTGGATAGAACGAAAGATGATGCACTCTGGGATGTTACTAGTGAAAAACAGTCGTCGTCAGACTCAAGTTCGGACGAGTCTCAAGTACAGCACTTGGTGGCCTTCCGGCGTTTAACTGCGTAAGATTAGTGTCCTAATAAAAAAAAATGTTACCACAGTGTAGCTGGTTGTAAGGCATATTTATTAAGGTAAGTGTGTGCTGAGATACTTTGAAGTTTAAAATGTTTTTTTTTTTGAAAATTCAAAGTTTGGGGGGGGGGGGGTCGACCTATATTACGGTTTTTACAGTATTTTTGTCTGTGCGTGAGCTGGAAAGCTGCTTTGCTTTTTTTTTAGCAGTGCTGTTGTAGTATAGCACAGTTCTAGAGCAGCATCATGTTACATGCTATTGGGAGTGGTTTCCTTCGGCATGGGTGCAACAGCTACGCCAGTTTTATACAGTTCCTTATTTTTATGCCAAGCTGAGCTAAAAGCACGAAATTTGTTGAAATTACGTTATGCAGTGTCAAAATGCCCTACTCGCCTCAAAATTTGTTTACTTGTGCCAATCTTTAGCAAGAAATGTAGTCTGCGTTTGCCACGTGCAGTGTAGGCATCATCCAGATGAGAACCAAAGGCATAGGTGTGCTTTGTGTTGAATGCCTGAAAACATTATTTTGCCTGTTGAAGTGCTTCTGTTCATGTATATTTGAAAATAAAGGTGAAAGTTTCACTTAATAAATGTTAATCTGTGTGCCTGTGGTGGATTCAATGGAAACAATGACCATTTGCCTGCCTGCCTTCCAATTCTCCCAGTTGGCCTAAGAGACTCCTGAATTTTGAGAAAACCTCCTGATTGTGTAGATAAGCTCATAACTCTCCTGTTAAACAACACTTAACTCGCCAAAAAAAAAAAAAAACTGTGAGAAAAGTATAGCTGTCCTAAAATTTCCTGGCCTGGCATTGTTTTATTGCCTACAGAACAAGTCACTCTTGCCCCAGTACACTGGTGCATTGCAGAGAACAATACTGTTTAAAAGCGGTCAATCGATACTAGTTGTCGCTAGACATGGCACGTTTCGTTCCTAAATTATTTGTGCCTGCACATGCCATATAACTACAAGTGTTAGTATGATTGCTTACATTAAAAAAATTAATGGCAATGATTTAGAGCTGTATATGGCGTTGAGAAACAATAAACAAAAATGTGCATCAGTTTTCGTTATTTATTTTTCCTGCCACCCCCACTCACTTCTGCTTTACGGACCTCTTGAATGATCTCCTGAGCTTCAAGGTCATCAGGTTCGCAGGTCCACATGAGCATTTCTAGTGCCAGTCAAACAACTTGACAGGTGCTGCCAATGCTAATGTGGACTGGTCCATCCCTTGCACTGTGAGGTGGTTTAACACTCTGCTTTTATTGAAGTAGTAGTGCTCACGTGCACTGTGTATGTGTTAGGTTGTGTGTTGAATGTATTGTAGCTATTTTTTTTTTCTAAAAGTAAGCCTTCTTTTTTGTACTTATGCTTTATAACGTATAAGTATGTTGTAGTGAAACAGTTTTACATTGAAACTATTAGCACTTGGCACGGGATTTTTTCAAAAGTTAATTTGAAAAGCTCGTTAAAGTGTTCGTTCTACCGAGGTTTTACTCTATTTATAAAAAATATTTTTCAGACCTTAATCTCGCGAGTTGGTAGCACAGTAATCTTTCGGTGTTGCCCTCAACTTTGGACCACACTGTAGTTGCATAACTTTGTGGGTGTCTTGTGTGTCGAAATTCTGTTCTGGTCCTGGCTTTGTGTTCTCCAAATAATTGCACTTTTTGTCCATAGGTTTTGAGCTGGGTTTCTCTATGACGAACCCCAATGCACTGGTGATGTGGGAGGCCCAGTTTGGAGACTTCATGAACACCGCCCAGTGTATCATCGACCAGTTCATCAGCAGCGGGCAGGCCAAGTGGGTCAGGCAGAGTGGCCTTGTCATGCTTCTGCCTCACGGCATGGAGGGCATGGTAAGCTGGGGTACTTCTTCCGCAAGATCATGTGTAGGTGCCTGTAGATTTTCACAGTCGTATTGAGCCCTTGTGCACTAACAGGATTCAGTTGGTTGTTCTTCTTTGGCTCCACCAAGCGAAGGATAACATCACTGTTTTTGAGCAATGTACAGTTTTGCTGTCAAGGGCAGATGCTACTCAGACACTTTTTTTTAATACAGTCGATCCCAGATATATCGAACTCGAAGGGGATCGCAAAATAGTTCGATATATCAAGAATTTGAAATACAAAATATGCATATTTAAGGCCTAAATTGAAAAATTTTAGGCCTCTGAAATCGTTACAAGAGCTAAGATAACGGTTTGCTCAAAAACAAGGTGCGAACCGCATGTTACCGCACTTTATTTAGGCCATAAACTTGTCTAGCTTCTTGCGTGCTGTCAAGTTCCAGTCATCCTTAATATCATTGAAGCTTTTCAAATAAGCGGACTTGGCTCCTTCGTCCACAACGTTGGTTGACCCAGAACGCCGATGCAAGCTTTGTAGCGCGAGAAAAGCTTGGTTAGCGGTGGCAGCGAAGGCTTTTGCATATTCATCATACACGCACGAGTACACATCCGTGGCACCGGCAGCCAACATCTCAACAACGATGCAGTCAGAAACGGCAATATCGATATCTGTATCGATGAACACGTTAAAGAACCCTAGGTGGTCGAAATTTCCGGAGCCCTCCACTACGGCGTCTCTCATAATCATATGGTCGTTTTGGGACATGAAACCCCACATATCAATCAATCAATCTGTATCGATGAAGTCACTTCTGTCCGAGATGGTGCCTGGAAATGCTGATAAGTCGCAGAATTCACTGAGGCACCGTACGCCGTTGTTAGCGGTCATGACGCACCTGAAGTCATCACCTGGCCTGCAAGGAACGCTTACAACACAGTTTTACTTGATGTCGCTCCAAGCGCAGTCATAATTTTTATCGCTACATGCGGGTCAACGTTCAGTTAAACTCCCGAATGAGGATATATCAGGAACGAGGCGAGAAGTGCACAAAACAAGTTGCAAAAGACGCAACACCAAGTTCGTCCGAGGGGAGGCCATGACATCATATTCGTAAAGTCACTGCATCGCAAACACCCGCACTACCTCCTAGCGGAGAAGCAGATAGACATTTCGCAGTATTCGGCGAGCAGCCGCAGCAGCGGCCTTAGCACCGGCAAAGTGGTAGGTGTTCTCTGCCGGCAGCGAGTCAATTGCTGCTTCTTTTGCGTATTTTTTAGGAAAGCTGTGCGATGCCCAGCTGTAGTGTATACTCAATGCGAATCACGGTGCAATGCCGGATGTACCTGGTGGCACTTTTCACATATGTTCGCTTCACTGTTGATCAGTAATGCATGGTGTTTGCATGCAAAGGTTTCAGCTGTGTGCTCCGTTGGTTCTTACTCATTGTGTGAACTGAGAACACACGAGAACTTTCAAACTTTTCTTGTTATCAGACTAAATGTGTATGTATTGTACAATTTGTACTGGAATTACACCCTTCACGTACAGTGGTGCACGGAATAGCTATGAAGCAAGCTCTCAAAATCGTGCATTGCCACACTGACACTATATACGAGCAAAGAACTGCTAATCGACCTGTAGATCGGGAAATCTGGCTAAGAAAAAAAGGCCTTACAGTGAGCAGAACGCATAAGTCACTGCCGGGTGAGTTCGAATACGATGATGCAAAGGCTGAATGATTTTGATGACAACACGTACCGGTGCTTTCTGTGCTGTTGCACAAAAACACTCCACGAAGTATTTCAGCACGCCGCGCTCAGGCCTGCCATGCACGAACAGTCTGGGAAAGGTGTGCTCGCGAAGTTTTACTGCATGCAAACCATACAATACGTGTTAAGTTTACACCAGGACTATAAGTCCGCGCAGAAGCGAACCAGCGCTGAGAGCACGCCGCAGAGCGTCTGCCGTTTTGTGTGGCCATACCAGTTTGTTTGCCCGCATAAATTTGACATCACTTCCGCCACACTTCTCACAATGCATAGGGATACGATAGGGCCTCTCCTCAGTTTTTCCTTCCTCCATGTCGTCCGAGTCCTCACCGTGGACATGTTGGCGATATCGATGTCACTATGGCTTTGTAGCTAGCAGCCACTGCTTTTAGCGGCTTTGATGCGAAAAGATAAAAAAAAAGTGTACCCTCCGAGACATGTGTTTTGAAACCGAAAACACTAAAAATATGTGACAAGGTAGCACATCTCGAAGGCCATGCTTTCCAGGCTTGCATGCCATCGTAGTTACCTTCTGCGTAAGGAGCAACCGAATTGTCAGAGGTGTGGAGAAATCTTGGCAGTAAACCATCTTTTTATCTCTTGTACAAAACTAGAGCGTGAATGGAAACTTTTTTTTCTACCCCTATACCATCAACAAACACCATTTCATCCAGCTTTTTTTATTGGCGAAAACCCTACAATAGAAATGAAGAATCTCATCAGATTCCTAAAAGCTATAAATGTACTGAAACTACTCTGACCCTTATTACCAAAAATATTAGAACCTGGTTTTAATATTTCTCTTGTACACAAAATATACCTTGCTTTTAGCGCAATATAGCCATAGTCGCTTCTGCGCCACAAAAACCGACGCAGCACAAACACTGTCAACTGGTGCAGAGAGCTTTGTGCTGAAGGCACATATAACAAAGAAGCAGCTGCCAATTCAAGATTTCTTTAAATGGTGTGGTCAGCAGTAAATAGCCAATAAACTTGTGAACCTTACACCTCTGTTTTCAGTTTATTGCATGCAGTTAGGTTTTACAATCGCTCAAAATAACCTTAAATCTGATGAAAGCAATGCCAAATAATAATGTGTGATGTAACCTTGCCCTCAGTCATATATATTAGAAATTCTGATAATTCAAACCAAATTCAGAGGTTCCTTCGAGAATCGACTGTATACTCGAACCTTGATATAATGAACCCGGATATGACGAAGTATTAGTTACAACGAAGTCAATGATGAATAGGCTTGCAATAGATATAGAGTTAAAAATACAACAGTATAGGAAATTTTTGGATACAATGAACATAATTTTGTGTAAGCTGCAACTTCATAATAGCAATGTTCGAGTGCACTATTTGCTGCTGAAACCTTTTGTAACAATCATAGCACAGGTCGGACTGAAATATAGGAAGACCCCGCCCCCCCCTCCCCCCATCTTCGAATCTCCGAAAAAGACATCTTTAAAGATCCCAAAGTATCGCAGCGCACCCTTACTTTGATAAATACACGACACAACCATCCGCACTGTGGTAACGTTTTTTTTTTTTTTTTTTTTTTTTTTCAACACTAATCTTACGTAGTTAAACGCCAGAAGGCCACGAAGTCCAGTACCTCAGACTTGTCCAAACTTGAGTTTGACAACGTTCGTTTTTCACTAGTAACGTCCCAGAGTGCATTGTCCTTCGTTCGATCCAATGCGTTACTGATGCACCATTTGTAAAAAGACTTGCGTACCATCTCTTCCTGGAGAGACTTCTATGCTGACGGCACCCAGCCACAAACGGTTGCGAGGTAATGAACGTCGTAGGCGGCCAGCGGGGGTCTTGGAATTGTCGCCCAGCATCCACTCATTGTAGAGCTCGTGCACGTAATCTTTGAAAGGTTTATCGGGCACTACATCCAGTGACTGGAGGATTGATGTTAGTCCCCCAGGGATCGCGACAAGCTCCGTGTTGCCATCAGACCTCCGTGTTGCCCTTTACATCGGCCGTGAGGTGGCCTGAAAATGAGTCTAGCACTAACATGCTCGATCGCTGAAAAAGCGCACCGGGTTGCCAATTCCACACGAGCCGGATCTACTCAAGCATGAGGGACTCATTCATGAACCTATCTTTCGTTTGCTCTCACAATAAGATCCCAAGGAAAGTCTTTTTTTTTTTGATAGCCCTTTTCTCTTGAACATGATATAAGGTGGCAGCTTCTTTCCATCGGCTGTGCACACAAGCATCATTGTATATCGCAAATGCTTATTTTTTCAATGTCAAGAGCTTCACTTCTTTGGATCCTTTAGTGCCCCGCTGCGGTGGTCTAGTAGCTAAGGTACTCGGCTGCTGACCCGCAGGTCGCGGGTTCAAATCCCGGCTGCGGCGGCTGCATTTCCGATGGAGGCGGAAATGTCGAGGCCCGTGTGCTCAGATTTGGGTGCACGTTAAAGAACCCCAGGTGGTCAAATTTTCCGGAGCCCTCCACTACGGCGTCTCTCATAATCATATGGTGGTTTTGGGACGTTAAACCCCACAAATCAATCATTGGATCCTTTAGTGGTCGCAGTTCGGTTCGATGGCATATCAAACCAGATCGCGAGTTTTGTCAGCACTACACATGTGTCCCATCATGTGGCAATGCTATCAACGAACCCTGAAAATGAAGCGCTGATACTCGACCAGCTTTGTATTGAAATCTTCGGCCAGTTCTTGGCACACGACTCAGTGCAAAGCCCTTCTGCTTCATAAATCGGCACACCTACAATCGGGAGCCCTTTAATTGCACCCTTGTAAGCCCAAAGTCTCGCCATATCTCGATAGCTTTCACCCTGATGCACTTCATTGTCTTGGCAGCGACCTTGCACGCAGCTCTTGGACAGATTCAGCGAGTAGTGTTTTCAGTGCAGGGTGCACTTCAGCTCGTCCGCGAAATGTTCCTTTTTTTTCGCTGCAGGATGTGATGCGCTGCTTTTGGCTCTTCTAGTACCGGACGCTTTTCTTCGTTGCACTAAATTCTCTTGTGCCGCCAGGTTGCCGTGGGCTATGGCATAATCAATTATACTTTTTTTCTTAACACTTTCATGACTGCAAGAAATTTAGCCGTTTTTGGGTAGTCCAAAAAAACCCTATTTTTTTATGGCACCTGAAGTTACTAATGTTAATGTTTATGGTGTCAAATTGTACAGTTAGGAGTTCTCTTTCAAACATGGTTAGTTTAAAACGGCAAACTTATTAAAAATTGTACGAAAAAAATCATCAAACGAAAAACATTGTAAACATGAACAAAGAAATTTCATTGAACCATCAACACTCCTCTGAACAGGCTAAGCATAAAAAGAAATCTAAGTATACATTTTAAGCGCAAGGGGCACTCACAATTACCCTGCAAATATAGGCGCTGTAAATACAAAAGTTTTTGTGCACATAAAATAACATTACACGTGGTGTCTTTCATGCCACCATGCCAAGCAGTTTCGCGATGTGGTAAAACACAGGTTTGCCCTGCATGTTTCACAGAAAACACTTGCTTTCTCTTCAACTTTTCTTTGTTCATAGCATAATTTACAGTTCCTAATATTTTTTTTTTGGCTGGTGCCGCCCTGAACGTCCTGAAGAGTGTTTCGTGTAGGAGCATCAAGATAGACTGTGGGACCTCTAAGAACCGCCTCTCTCGCTATACGTCGGCTTCTGAAAAATCTGCGTTCAAGCATATATATTTGTGCTTTTGCATAGCTCTCTAATAACTTGAACAGTAAAAAGCAAAAAATCGACAGTGCTCACGGAGCACCGCGCGGCACTACGTAACGTGGTTCCAAGATTCACTCCCGGCTGCCTCCACGCACGAAACTGCACTCTGCACTGCCGCTGGCAAGTAGTCCCGCCCGAAGGAAGTCAGACAAGAGCCCTAACCTTCAGAACACATCGGATCAACTTGCACTGACGCGTGCCGGCAATAACGCGGCCTGAGCACAAAGCAAAACTCACCGGTGGACGACCGCTGATGTTCTGGGTCGGTTTGACGTACTCTCTTCGAGTGCGCTGAAATCAAAAGTGTCGATGTCGTCTCCTGAGGCTGTGCTGTTGTCATCATTTGAATATTTCAGCCCAGATGCACGAGAATTCCCCGAAATTTATCGTTTTCGTGAAGCGGTCACACGCGGCGTCAACGCCTTGATGGAAACTATGCATGCTCATTTGCGCACATGAAAAGGCGCTTTAAAATCACTACACGGCAAAAAAGAGAAACGCAAATGCAAAACTGATAAAATACTTTTTGTTTTACTCGGTAGATAGCGCAAGGAGTCCAAAAGCCTTCGAAACAGGGCAAATATTGAAATTGTAAACATCGAAAACATACTATCGATGGGGATAGGCACGGTCACGAAAGTGTTAAAGCCTATCATAAACTGCCATTGACTGCCACTCATTTCTCAAGAAAATAGAAAAAAGAGAATGGCAGACTACAACGATAATTAAAGCCAAATAGCTTGGCTAATACACTGTAGACCTTGTGTAGCCTTGCCCAAGGACACTGTTGCTGATGCTCACGATGGCAATGTAGGCTTTTGGCTTCGGCTGCCCCTTGTTGCGAGACCTCCACATCTTTTTTTTTTTTTTTGCTAATTTCCGGTATATAGGATGAAGTTCGACTTTTCATTGCATTTTTCTTTAAAAAATTCTACCTATTGGTTTTTACTGTAGGTTGCCAACAAGCTGTTAGGTGGCAGCCTTGTTGTTCTAAAGGCATGCAACACAGTGTAATGCACATATTAAACCCTGATGTGAGGGACACAGCATTCGGGTATTCTTGATTTGCCGCCCCGCTGCAGTGGTCTAGTAGCTAAGGTATTCGACTTTTGACCCGCAGGTCGCGGGATCGAATCCCGGTTGCTGCGGCTGAATTTTCGATGTAGGCGGAAATGTTGTAGGCCCGTGTGCTCAGATTTTGGTGCACATTAAAGAACCCCAAGTGGTCAAAATTTTTGGAGCCCTTCACTACGGCGTCTCTCATGGTCATATGGTGGTTTTGAGATGTTAAACCCCACATATCAATCATTCAATTCTTGATGCTCCTGTGTCGTTCACACTGGTGACCGTAACGATGCAGATCCACCTCTTTTTTTTTTTTTTTTCACCAGGTATGCCAGTGGCATCCACTCTTGTGTGTCAGACATTTGCAGCATTTTTTCATTCTGTGCACTTTGAAGATTGCATGAATTTTAGAGAGCAAACCTAAATACTACATCTCAGTCACGAGAATTCGACACCGTCAAATTATGCATGTGCTTGCCACAATCGGAAGATAAATACAAATGATGCAAGGTTTCTAATTCATAAAGTTTTACGTCATTCAGCTGTATGCAGTAAAACCTCATTATTTCGAACTCTGTTATTTCAAAATCCTGTCTAATTCAAAGTGTTTTCACAGTCCCGCATTTTGCAATGCAAGTTTCAGCGCATAATTTGAAGTGGGGGTCAGCACCAGTCCAATTGATTGAAAAACTTTGAGGGCAGTGTGCCCATTCCCGATCCCAATTTCGCCACTAAACCGTGAGAACAACAGCCTTTAAGAGCCATTAAGCAGTGCACTGTAGTGATACTAATGAGTAGCAGCTGAAGCAGGCCAACCTTGATACTTCCAGCTCGAAAAATAAAATTGTAAAAAAAAAAACAGTCGTGTGATCAACTGAAATGTGCGCCTGCGAAAAAAAAAAAACGACGTGCTTCACTGCATCACAGCGGGGATGGGTGGGCAGCATGTCGCCTGGTTCTCGCAGTGTCGGAGCGTCATGATTCACCCAGTCTTTCTGGGAATAAGAAGAAGAAAAAGATAAACATCCTTGCGGAATTTGCGATATATGCAAACTAGGCTTGTGCGAATATTCGAATTCTTTGAATATTTGAACAAATAGCTGAGTATTCGTATTCATTTTGATTCAAATTCAAATTTTGAATATTTTCGAAGTATTTGCAATGAACGAATAAATACATTAGTCCGCATGTTACCGCCTGTAAGGGTGGTTTTACTGCACTGTAGAAATGCTAAGCCGTGAAAGCACTTATCTAGAAGAAATTCGCTTTGCCGCGAAGCCTCCTTTCAAATTTAAAGTGGCCCTTAACACTTACTAAACATGGTCAGAAAACGCTGCGGATCAGTAGTTGAGGCTACCGAGAATACGCGAGACAAATATTCTAGCGCAGCACGCGACCTGTAATTCACAATAAATTTTCAAAGCTAAAAATTGCTTCTTCCCTCGGCAAATGACACTACAATCTCTAAAATCACTTGTCACAACCATTGGCTGATTTGAGCATGGCACGCTCGTCGTTACCGGGGCCGCCGCTTGTCCGAGTGTGATCGTGCACGAGTAAGTGCACGATCACACTGAAAAGTCGCGTATTCAAAAAAAAAAGTGCTCAGGGTCATGAGGTGCATGTGACGTATTTTCACTCGCTGTGACATTCCTTTCTGCTAAACTTCCAGCTATTTCGTCGGGACGAGAAAAGAGAATGCAATTGCAGCGTGCGACAAATTTTTGGTGCTCCGCTCGTACTGGACTAATTCTAGAAACTTTGCGGCGATGAATTTGTGAGGCAACAAGCATGTTTACTGGCTCCATGGCTACTTGAAAAAGTGTTGCAGGGCCCCTTTAAGGGAACCTGTTACCCTCAAATCAATTCTTCATTCTATTAAGCTTGTTATGATGGCTTATATGCTGCAAGAATAATAAATTTTGAAACGCTAAGTATCTTGCAGGTTATCACTCTCATCCCACTGTAACTACTACTCAATGTTGTTTCAACTTCCTTTGAATGAAAAAAATGGCATTTGCATAGAGTCCCTATTTCAATTCAAAAGAAATATTGTGCAGGTTAATTAGGTCATGATAAATATCCCTTTTTTTCTGTGCAATACATACCGTTCGAATTCGATTCGATATTATCCGATTAAAATCACCATTCGCTTTGAACTCGCTTCGAACCTAAAATTCACTATTCGTACTAGCCTAATGCGAACCTCTAAATGGCAGTTGCTCCAGCGATTCTCGCACTTGCACTGCAGGCGAGTTCTTGCCTGCTACGCCTACTTCGAAAACTCGGTTCGAAAGTTTCAATAATCATGTTTTCCAGCTAAAACACATTGCAAATTTCATCGCACTGCCCAATATTTAATTCTTTGTTTTACTAGAAAGAATGGGCGAATAGTCTTATCATGACATGCTTATGCAGCGAGGAGCAGGCGATATGTTGCCCACGTGTCACTACTGTGTTGCAGCGAAGATGTGTTCTTTTTCGCAGGTGCGCGTTTCAATTAAGGGGACTTTTTTTTTTTTTTTTTTTTTGCATTGGCAGCAGCGAGGCTCAGCGTTTTCTTGTTTGCGATGAAATTGTGACCTGGTATTGCTAGAAAACTTGACCCTTGGAGGCACGAACTAGCCGGCACAGCAAACAACCTGCTTTGGTTACTTCAAATAATCTTAAGTTCTTTGCATCCCACTTTTTGTATGTTCTGTTAATTTGAAAATCTGATGAATTAGATGACTTTTCACGATTTTGTTGACTTTGTAATAATGAGGTTTTACAGTGTTATCTTCTTTTTCACATGGTGTTAGATGTGATGGACTGAAGTGATCATACTGTCTAGAATTCTTATATTATTTCAATCTTATGTGATGTGCACAAATTGGGCACATTAGAGGTTTTCGATCCAGCTTAACTGCAAAGCCCCTTGTGATGCTTCATTTCTTTCATTTCACGTTGCAGTTTCCTGTAAGCTATCTCATATTTTTGCAATTTTGTCAGGGCCCCGAGCACTCAAGCGGCAGGCCAGAACGTTTCCTCCAGCTTTGCAGTGAGGAACCTGATGTCTTTCCTGTGAGTACTACGAAGTATTCATAACTCTTTTCTTTCTAAGTTTTTTTTTCATTCTTTCTAATTAATAATTATTTTCTAAGTTCAGTCTTTCGTTTTGAAATTTCAGTCGGGCTTTATTATGTGGTCCTTGCATAAGCAAGATTTAGTTAAACTTGTATCTGCTTTGAAAACCAGACTTGTTTTCCACCATGTGTAATGGTCTTGGGAAGTTATTATTCTAGCTTTGCTGTCTTAATCACCTCTCTTTAACTGCAATTCTGAGCTGCTAGTGTTATTTAAGCCCCCGCAGGGGCGTCTGCGTACGCAGGTGTTTGGTGTGTAGCAACACCACGGACCAGAGCTAACGGGGGGGGTTGCCACTCCCTCCCACGCCTAGCCGTGCGTGGCTGAGCCGTGTCCGGGAAAAAGGGGATCCTGGGGGGTTGAGCTGACGCTGGGTGCTTGGACCTTTAAGGACCCCCGGCAGAGGCAACACACCCCTTTGGCCCCGGCTTCACGTAGACGGCACCCCTGGGCTGACCCACCCAGGGGAAATAGGCAGTCGCATTTTCCTATCACTCTCTCCCTACACCTTCGTCTTTATCTCTCACTTTTTATCTGTCCTGTCATCTTCTCTTTTCGATCTACTTACAAATTTCCTGGCGGCAAGGGTTAACCTTGTGTGAATACCCAGTCTTGGCTATTTCATATTAGGTTATAGCAGTGCTGTACAGCTGGCGTCGACAGGACTTGCCGAGCATCTCCTGCCATGTCCCCGTGGTGGGTGGCTGGCACCGCTGCCAAACTTAATAGTCAATTTATGGTAAATGCTTTTCCCCCTCTTCCTGATCGCTCCCTGAAAAGGTGGCGCACCGAAGACACTTTCATGCTCAACACACCAAGCCAACCTTCCCAAAGTACCATGTTATTCATAGCCAGAACGAAAAAAAGACAGTACGTACTATTTCACCTTTTCTTGTGTCGAAAACTCCCACCAAAGCAATAGGGCCAGGCTATAAAGTCACAAAGATGGGAAGTGGAGATCTACTTTTGGAGGTTCGGGACAAAGCTCAATACGAGAAGCTGTCTAAACTTGTAGCGTTTGGAGAAACCCCGGTTTCCATGGGCCCACACAGGTCTATGAACACTGTCCGCGGCGTCATTTCTGATGATGACCTTCTTCAACTCTCGGAAAGTGAACTATTGGAAGGCTCGCAAGACCAGAATGTAGTGAAGGTACAGAGAATTATTATACGACGAGACAAGAAAGAAACACCCACCAAACACATAATTGTCACGTTCGGTACTAGTGGCTTACCAGAATCAATTGAAACCGGCTACTGTAAGCTCCGTGTGAGACCATATATCCCCAATCCTCGTCGATGTTTCAAGTGTCAGTGTTTCAGACACGGATCGCAGAGTTGCAGAGGGCGAGCTACTTGCGCAAAGTGTGCATCCACTCAACACATATCGGACGACTGCACCTCAGAAGCCACTTATTGTTCGAACTGTGAAGGAAATCACCCTGCCTACTCACGATCATGCCCCACATGGAAAAAGAGAAACAAATAGTAGAACTCGAGGTCAAATTTAATTTGTCATTCCAAGAGGCACGTTAAAGTTTTTCACTGTACAACCCCTCATATCCCTCTTTTGCAGATGTGACGTGCCGGGGCGTCGTGTCACATGTTTATGCACCCCCGAATGTCACACAGTGTGTGGCCGCGGTCGTGGCAACAGCGCGCCCGGCTGGAGCAGCCTGTACTGCTCCGCCACCTGACAAACAGGGCCGGCAGACCCCCGTGTCTGCTAAACCTCGGACCGCTGCAAGCACAGTTAAGTCCGAAAGTTCTGTGAATTTTCCTGCACCATCCACCACCTCACAAGAGGTGATGGATACAAGTCCGGCTCCTCCGGCGCCTCAGATGCCGAAAGATAGGCGCAACTCTTTGGAGCGCGCCAAGAAAAGAAAAAACCTGAATTACAGGGCCCCCAAAAGGCCCTGTAACCTAAGGCAACACATTTGTACACACAGCACCACACAACACTAAAATGACACAAATACTACAGTGGGACGTCAGAGGACTGCTGAGAAACTTTCCAGGAGCTCTTACACGAACATACACCAAAAGTGCTGTGTGTGCAAGAAACACACTTGAAACGAAAACACACTAATTTTCTACGCAATATGTTATCTTTCGAAAGGGATCCGCTAGATGGCGTAGGGCGGTGAGGACGTGCTCACATCGCTCTCCACTTTATGAAACGCTTTCAGGCGGAAATTTCATTCAAGTCTACTCGAAGAGTGCGTCATCTTTTCCGTGAAGTTGCGAGGACTTGAAGGACACCAAAATCTGGGACCTGGACCAGCTTCACGAGAAATTATCAACGTTTGAAGATACGACGTGCACGAACGCAGCTTACCGTATCACCGGCTTCGGTCGGCGGTGCCAGGACGCTAAACCGGGCGCAGTGCGGCGACGGGTGCGTCGACTGGCTCACCGCTATTCGACCGACTTTCCGACATTTTCTGACCGAGTTGGAAGTCAATGGTGAGTGCCATTTAACCTCCTTTTCGGACTACGCGTCTTGCGCAGAGGAAAACGGAGGTCGGCCCATTCCCCTGTTTCTACTGAGCATGCATGCATAAGGACGCCTAGAAATTCTTTGTCTACGTGGACGTGGACGTTGACGTTGACGAAAACCCTCCCGGCACATCTCTGGTGTCGGAGAATCAACCGAGCGACGCGAACAGCGTCTCGTCAAATGAGGAACCAAGTAACGACGCGCGAGCGCCCAGCGCCGCGTCTCGCGATAACAAGAACGATGACGACGCGGGTCTGGCTCTTACTTGGACGGAGGACGACTGGCACACCGTCCTTTCACGCAGAAGAAAAAAAACCTTAAAAAAAGCCAGAAAGAACCCGAGAAGGGACTAGAGAAGAAAAACGAAAAGTCAGCAGGCCATACGCTTGCCGACGCAGCACGGGACAGCCAAGTCAAGTGGGATTTCCAGCGCAGAAAACGCCGAGGACAGACACCCCTTCCAAAGGAAGACATAAAGGTTATCCTGAGACCGCACAAGGGCCTCACAGTGAAAAATCTATTTGGATCCGAGCTCTCTATGGCAGTAATAGAGGCCTGCCGGAACAGCTTTGGAGGAGAAAGTTTTTTGCTGCGGGTCCACCCCGTATCGAACATCATAATATTGTCCACGCCACACGAATAAGTGGCGGGCAGGCTGAGAGAGATCAACCAATTGAAAATCAGAGAACGAATTCACCCCTTCAATGCGTACGTGGCCGACCCAGAAGACGTGCTGCGAGGCATCGTTCACGGACTACCGCCTGGAACCACTCAGGCCGACCTGATGGCAAACCTACGAATACGGACACAAGGGGTGAAGATAGAGAGAGCCAGAATGCTGGGCTCTTCGAAGTCAGCAATAATAACTTTTACGGGTGACGTGCTCCCCAGGTGTGTCTATTTTATGGGTGCAGAGGCGATCTGTTATCCATACAAGCCTACCGTACAGGTTTGTAAGATTTGTCGATCAACTGGACACCGAACCGACGTGTGCCCGAGTCCGAACGCCAATGTGTGCTCCAAGTGTGGGACGTGTGATCCTACTCAAGAACATGAATGTGCCCTGAACTGCGCCATATGCGGTGAAGAGCACGCTACAGGAGACGAATCATGCAAAAAGAAACTGAAAAATGTGGCCCCCCGAAAATCACGAGTGGAGACGCCTCGAAGACAAACAGTGTACCTATGCCGAGAAGGATTTCCCGCCATTTGAGCAACACCAGCAGAAACCTCCTCGTTGGTTTAGCTCAGACCGAGAGGAAATGACGCTCCAGACGCGGCAGGCATCTAGATCCAGCTCCAGATCACGATCAAGATCGAGATCATCATCAAAGACCCCGTAACAGCGGAATATTAGCAAGCCTGCGGAGGCCCCTGGCAAGCCAAACTTGAAGAAAACACTGAGCAGCAGCTTGGAAACAAGCTCCGCCCATGCCAGGAAAAAAGAAGCAGTAGCAGCAACCACTGGCCTTAGTACGCAGGACGTACAAAGCAACCAACCAAACAAGGTGAGCTGGGCGAGTCCAGTGCCTCCCAATGTTCCTGCAACTGATAGCCCACAGTATAGGAAAATTCTAGAGGAGAACAAAAGATTAACACAAGAAATTAAACAGCTTAGAAATCAAATGACTGCGGAGCGGAAAGAGTATAAAATGGCCATCTCGTCAATGGAAATCAAATTAGAAAATGCAATTAAGAAAATACAAAACCCAGGGTCGATAGGCAACCCCACCGTGGGCAATAAAGAGGCGCGAGAGCGTCTAGCCCACATGCAGGATAGTGCAGAAACGAGCGCGGAAACGATAGACGAAGACTCGTTCGCTAATCAATCAGAAAGTAGTGAACTAGTAAAGCGAGTGCAGACGCAGGTTCAAGCAAACAGGGAAAGCATAGCTACTTTACATAAACTTCTAAGTGATTTCATGGCGGAAATGAAAACGTTTGTTGTAGAAGAACTGAAAATTCGGAGGCAGTATGTTAACGATGCTGTGGGAGGCTTGAAGATGGCACTAAACAAACGCTCCATGTCCGCTCCAGGTATTGACAAACCATCCAAAGCGGGCCGCGACAGCATGGATACGACCATGCAGCATGGCCAAAAATAATATAAAAAGTGTAGAACATTTAGAGATTTGGCAGTGGAACTGTCGCACTTTTCACAAGCGCGCTGCAGCACTCCAAAATTACATGAACTCGGCACCAATTCAACCAGACTTAATATGCTTGCAGGAGGTTGGGCCCAAGATGGTCAAACTGCAGGGATATTATTGTTTGCAAGACCCAAATGATCCCCGCGTAGCCTCGCTGGTTAGCAAAAGTATTGCAGCAAAGGTTGAGCACATAGAAAGTCTGCGGATAAATCATCAGATAATCACCCTTCTTCCTCTGAAGAGAGGCAAAGTGAAAGCCGTAATATTAAATATATACAGCCCTCC